TCCTTCTGGACACCGCTTCCAACATTTTCTCCCCCGCAACATCAACCAAACAAACGCCCTGCGTCTTCCGTCTCCTCATACCTGACGTGGCGGTTGAGTTGAGGAGACCGCGGAGTTCGCGGCGCAGCTCTTCCAGAAAGCCTCGGAGCCCCGGGGCGAGGCCATGGCGCTCTCCGCGATCGCGGAGATGCACCGCAGCCGCGGGGAGGCGCGAAAAAGGCATCCAACGGGTTTCCTTTAAGGGAATGCCCTGACCCCCCATAGGGACTGCCCCAAAGAGGTTCATTAACACCCGGAAGGCAATTTTTTCAAGCGGCAAGGAAAGGTGTCTCTTAATAAATGAAAGGACACGTGAGGGAAGACACAGAAACACACAGGGAAGATACGGTGGGGGAAGACGCAGAGATGGTTGGTGCCTCTACATAGATGGTTATTTGGAAACAGAGAAACTCCCGCAGTCCATATTGCTTTCACAAATTGGTTTAGACAAGGAGGAAGAGAAGGAACAGTGGCTGCTGCCGCCGCCGCCGCTGCTGCTGCTGTTGCGGTTGCGGTTGCGGTTGCTATTGTTGGCGTTGCTGCCATTGTTGCTGTTATTGCTGCTGCTTTTTCGGCTGCTGTTCCTGCTGTTGTTGCTATGGCACTGGAGGTGCTGGGTGCCGCAAGTTAGGCTGATTTGGCCATTTGGAAGAGTTGTGTGAGGGTGGCGGCTCGAGAGAGGTCAGTTGGATTCATTGCATTGATCAAGTAAGAAAGCGCCATAGTTGCAGTGTCTTCCTGCAGAAGCACTGCATTGCAGCCTCTAGGACGACCTGGCGCTGGAAGCAGCGCAGCGCTGCCGCGTCATAGTTCAGGCCTGGGAAGGATTTGGCTTACTGGGAGAGAACATGATGTGGACGGCGACCGCTAGTGTCCACACTTTATTTGGACAGAGAGCTCGAACTCCATTTGATGATTGGCAGAAGTGTTTGTTGTTTGTGAAGCTCGGGTGGCTAAGTAGTGTTGGGCCCTGTTAGGCAGCGTTCCTGTCGTGCGTGCCCGGTGTTCTCCTGGCACCGTTCAACGTATGGTGAAAAGCATAATATAATGCTGTTGGATTCCCAGTGATGAACTCATCCTGTGAGGAGTCAAACTCTCCCTTCGAACACCAATTCAACCGGACGGCCACAGGAAGCTGGCTGGAAGGAGGAGGAAGTCAAGTGCCTCGTTGCTGCTGGGCTGCTTTAGAGCGCAGGCACCATTGCCGATTTGAGACTTCTTCCACTCACTTACCCACCTAACCACCTACCCCACCTACCCCACCTACCTCACCTACCCCACCTATCCACCTACCCACCCACGGCCGCACGGACATGGACTCAAGGCACGCATGGACGCACATCATTGCAGAGACCAATGGTGCTGACTTAAAAGAGAGTTTGCTTGACGCCTTGCTCAACTTCAAACTTTCATACATTCACACCTCGTATCTGTGGACTCGGCACCTTGTAGTTGCCCAGTTCTTTGGCTGTGAACGTGGAGTATATGCTGCGATTTTTGAGGGTCCCTGAGAGAGTTGTCCGTTCTTGTGATATTTTCAAAGGCCTGATGGTGGCACGTGGGCCCGGTGGTTTTGTTGTACGGGTCAGGCTCTGTAGCGTTGGCCTGAGATTTGTCCACAAACTATGTGGGAATGTATCAAACAGAATGTATCAACCATTTAAGAAGGTCCCTTTTCGCTTCTATGGTGGAATAACAAAGCGTGAAACCGACATCTTGCCTCATTTCGGAGGAGCCGCTGGTTTCAACACCCCACAGCTGCCAACATCAGGACATAGCCAACCTCCAGCGCCAAGTTGACGTGAAGACGTCCGCACGCACAGCTCGGGAAGGACTGCGGATGGCAAAACGTGCCGGGCAGCCTCTTGGCAGAGATCGTGCGTGTCAAACACAGCAGTCTTTTGCGAGCGTGCAGTTCGCGGCATGGCTTGAGAGCAATTTTGGCAGATTCGGCTTCTTTCCCACGAACGGCTAGTGGCAGAGGTACTTATTTGATGCCTTTTGGGCCACGCATCAAAACATGAAGGAGCTCTTGACACAACTGTCCTATGTGCTTTGGCGCCAAGCTGAGGCTGGAAGATCAAGTGCGTTTGCTCATGCAGTGCGTCCAGTGCCTTGGTCCAGAATTCTGCTGCCTCGGATACGAAAGTTCTAGGGGTTGATTCCTCATTCTTTTCAACCACCCTTCTTTCCAAAAACCGGACGTTTTCCCTGGGTTTCCTGGAGGTTCTCTAGAAAGAAGGATCCCTGGAAAGAATGGAAATGAAAGGTACCGCTAGGAAAGTGAGGAGAACGCACGTTGACAGCAACTTTGGTTCCCTGGGCCATCCGGACCAAGTCCGCTGCGGCCACCGATGCGGACAAGCGCAACCCATGTCCTGGCCGGTGAATGGCACGTCAATTTCTTCCCTGTTCAGGGAGGTTCATGCCGGAATATGGCAGTTGCAGAGTTGCTCCCTCACAATCACCTGCTGTGGGACTCCCAGAGCCAAACCTCAATCATTTTGTCATCCCCAAAGAGTGGTCCGTGGCGCTTGTTGTGGGGAAGGCTTATGCATCAACTTGGGCTTTGGGGCTTGCTCTCCAATATTCTTCAATGCTTCATATCTTGTCAGCTGCAAAAGTCCGGCCAGTCAATGCAATCTCATTCCATGGCAGTGCACGCCTGTTTTTCAGTGGCAGAGGCTGAGACCATCACAAAATGGGCTCCAATGGGACTCCTGTAAGTTGGTTTCCTCGCCATTGATTCACCCCAGCCCAATCCTATCAGTGTGGGGCTCCGTGGCCCCACAGTCCCAACCGGCCCGGCAAACTCCTGTGGCTGTGTGACTGGTCTTGCTGGTACGATAGGCAGGGACTGAGACAATGGCCCAAAAATAAACCATCCTGTGTGCTTTCCTTTAAGGGATGGGTTCATTCCCACATTCCCTATCGCACCAGCCAGTGGTGAATTTTGGTGGCAGTCTGGTGTCCAACTTCTGCGAGTCTCACCCTGGGCCCAGGTGCAACTTGCTGCTGGCCAACAGCGGCCATGCCTCGCGGAACCTCCTGGAGGAGACTTTGCGCTATGCGGCGACTGCCATGGAGCTGACGAGGGGCGACAGCCCATGGAGAAGGCAGAGGGAGGGAAGGGGCAAACCCACCGGCCGAGGGATTCAGCCGATGAACACCCTCAATTAAGTTGTCTGCCCTTTCTGGACCAGTTTTTAGTTTTAATTGTTCAGTGAACATGAACATACAGTATAACGCGATGAACGAAAGGGATGAGCCATAGCTAATTGCGGGAGGCATGACATACTTTCGCCACGAAGTGCAAGCAATGCTGAAAGATAGCCCAGAGACAACACAAGTGTGTTGCTGCACAGCTACATAACGAAAGCCACAAACCTCAATGTGTCAGGAATCTGCGTGTCCAACGAGCACTAAGGCACGCGTGCAACCCCAGTACAGGAAACAAAACGTGACCGGATTGTTGGCAGGGATGCAGTACTCTCGGACACCATCCACTTTGCCTTCAAAAAGCCAACAAGGACTCATGACAAGGTTTGCGAAGAGAAGCCTATAAGTTGATAGCCTCTCACATTCATACATTTGCCTGCTTTTTAGGCGAGCTGGGGGTATAACGAGCTCACAATGGTTCTTTACTTGGGGATACCTGTTGACCTGGATGTCTTCTTGGTTTGCCTCGCTGCGTTGCGAAGCCATTCCAGGCGACTGCGCGGGTTGGCGATCTACTGGCAAGCACACGCGGTAGCGCTCAAGGACTCAGTGCCTCAGCTGCCATGTGACTTGCGTGGTGCGGTCGAGGCGTGACTTGGGGTTGTGCCAGGATTTGTGCGGGCGGCTTTCTTCTCAGAGGCTTGCTCGTGAAATCTCTTCAAGGGGGGACCCTTCTTTCCCATGTGGCGTGAAGCAGCGGTGGAAGCAGCTGGCGGCAATGTGAGAAGCAATTGCATATGGTTCGAGGATTAGCATTGTAGCGGCTTTGCTGACCAGTTCATACAACAAGAAGACGGGTTCAATCTAAGACATGCACACTCCTTCCATCATGTTTGTTTGCCGCAGATGCACTGAGAAAGGAGCTTCTTCAAGCTGTATTGTCACTACGTTATCTGTGGGTTATGCTGGGGTCTGTCAAGATCCGAAGCAGAAAAGATGACCTGCACAATGTGCATGAGCGAAATGGCTGTAGCCAGAGCAGTTGTGCAAATGATCGCAGTTCTCCACAAATTCAAGCCTTGCCATGCAGTCAGCACTTTTTGCAGACTCTCCAATGCTGTGAGCATTCCCAGGATACACATTGACATGACATACCCTCCCACCAGCAAACATGGAATTGCACAGACCCCTGTAGAAAGACTACTTTCCTCTTGGAAAGGGCCTTTTTGCACTTCCATGTTAGTTGGTGAGAGGGTAGATATATACATACACATACATATAATACACATATAGAAACAAATAGCATAGCCGCGCTGGGAAGGCCCAGCAGCTTAGTCTCAGCACTGGTTTTCTTGTCCCCGCCTCATCCGCTGAAGTAGATGTTGCTCAAGAAAGAGCCCTCACGGCCCTGAGAGCAATGCCAATGGAATTCTTCAACCTGCCAGCTATTTCAATCTTAAGGCAATTCAGTAGGCAACATGGAGACGTTGCTGGTGACTTAGTGCACGCGTACACCATGCCAGGCAAATGCATCTGAGCAAGTGTGTTTGTCCAGCGCCGTTTGTATGTGGGCTTCGACCCTTGTTGATGCACTCTCACTCCCATGCGTGGCTGCCCGTTTGCTTTGCCTTTTGAAGCCGCAACGGGAGCCTTGGCACCAAGGAGGCATCATTGAAACTGTTGGATGAGCTGGAGAAGGAATGCAGCTTGGATTTGCACCGAATTTTGCCCAGAGAGGCTTTGAAGGCAGGCACTTGTTGCCCCTGGGCACGGAGATTCACCGTTTGGAGCGCCCTCAACGCATGGAGCCGGGAATTCGGAAGCCGGTGGAATGTCGGCCGTTTCAGATGTTGCACAGCTGCTTGGGCCAGTTCGTCGCGGCGTGCCGTCGTATGTACCATATCGTTTGGGAAGCTTGGCTGATGCTCTTTCTTGAGGCAACCCAAGAACGTGCTGTGTATCAAGCCCCAATCACCACACTTCCGGGCAAACCGACCACCACCTTGATCCTCAAGGTCAAAACCCGCCCACAAAGCTGCGTTTCTTGATACACAGCCGCCAGGAGCATAGGTGTCCTTTTTGGTCGTTTAGGTAGATACCTGTTTTAACAATCAAGCAGGGCCATCTATTTGCCCTAGGACACCTGTGGCAAGGGTCTCACCTTCTCCCGGTCCAAGGTGTGGCCACCAAGAACGAGGGGCTGCGGGCGCACGGCGATCTGCTGGCGGCGCAGATCCTGCTGAGCAGCGACAAGCCCAAGGCCCTGGAACTGCTGAGGCGCGGGGTGTGGGACGGGGTTTGGGTCTTGCGGTTCGGTTTATGTTTGGGTGCCTCCGTAAACCCATGGTAAACCAACTATGAACCCATAGGAAACCAACTCTAAACCCAACAGTAAACCAACTATAAACCAATAGGAAGCCAACTATACACCAATAGGAAGCCAGCCATAAACCCATAGTCCCCTCTAGTGTTTTGATTAGACTCTCGATCCAATGCTCGGGCTCTGTCTAAGATTCTGACTGTTTGGAAAGCAAACAACCAACGTCCCTGAATTGGAACGCCGTTGCAGGCCCATACATCCTCCAGTTGACAACCAACCATTAGAGCAGGGGCTGTTTGGGGTGTTGAGGTCAACAAATCTTGTTGCATGCATGAAGGATTGTTCACGACTTCAGAAAAGAAGGCGTGGCATGGACGCAGGTTTTCTGCAGTCGGTTTGTGGCATGGCAACGTAAGATAAGAAGGACAACACAGTAACACGCCTGACAGTTAGTTCTGACAATCGCCAATGCTTTCGACAGCCTCAGGCAGACACTGCCAACTAAGCTTTGAGTTTCATGGAAGTCGCACAGATCACAGCAAGCCAATTTTTTGTTCGACTTGCCCGGGTAGTTTCATGAGTCATTGGCCTTAGAGTGTCAGCATTTCAACATGGGCTCGGCTTTTGAGTTAGCTCTTTGTGGCCAAGGGACACCAAAAGGAAAACCACCAGAAGGTGGGGCGAGGGACGGGAGTCCCCGAAAGAAGACAATGGCTCGAAGTCGAGCAGCGGTATGCGCAGATTGTAGTCTTTTCGGTATGCGCTGACCAAGGTGCCAATTGGGGGATTCCATTAGCCGCAGCGATGTGTGTTCCTTCGGTGCCTTCCCCAGGTCGGCCTTGGCAACACTGAAAAGATTGGGTGACACCGGCGGCTCAAAGATGGCCGAGGAGGCAGCTTTTTTTTGGTTCTTTTTTTCTCTCTTGTGTATTTGTTTTGTTTGTTTGGCTTTTTTGTTTTTGTTTGTTTGTTTTGGCTTTTGTATTTGTTTTGTTTGTTTCGGATTTTTGTACTTGTTTTATTTGATTGTGTATTTGTTTTGCTTTTTTGGTTTGCTCGTCCGTCCGTCCGTTCGCTCATTCTGGTTATAGTTTCTTTGACGTCGTTTGTTTGTGTGTTTGTTAGTTAGTTAGTTTGTTGGTTAGTTAGTTTTGTTTGTTTGTTTGTTTGTCTGTTCGATTGTTTGTTTGTTTGTTTGTTTGTTTGTTTGTTTGTTTGTTTGTTTGTTTGTTTGTTTGTTTGTTTGTTTGTGTGTGTGTGGGTACATGCGTGCGTGCGTGCGTGCGTGCGTGCGTGCGTGTTGTTGTTTGTGTTTACCGGCCTTTGTTTGTGTGTTTGCGCGCGTGTGCGTGCGTGCGGGCATATGTACGTGTATGTGTGCACGCATGTGGCAAGGTTGCGGGGCAGTCGCGGCACCATACGCGCAAATTCCAAGTGGTTGTGAGGCTGGCCTTGCGGAACAGATGGAAGAGGAAACTCCCAGAACCCATCACACCGCACATACGTTCTCCCTGATCATCCCTTCTGATGTATCCATCCACCTTAGGCGTGACATGATGGCACTCATTCCACGCATGCTCACCATTCTTCGCTTTGGCCTTTGCAGTTGGAGAGCTCATGGGAAAGCTGTTGCTGCCTAGTACACGACGACCTCTCTGCCCAAAGCCATTGCTGACCATGAAACGAGCAGAGAGCGCCGGAGGTCCTGGAAAGGGCCACAGCTGTGCCGGCTGCGCGTGGCTTGGCGCATACAGATGTGGTGGACGTCGGTCCTCGGGCGGGAGGGTTCCTTGTGTCATGTGACAAGATGCTGTGTGCAGAGGGCGCTTGAAACACCAATCTGCCAAGGTTTATTATTTGCAGACTGCTTAGGATTCCTGGCCCAACTTTCTTCACGACACCTTTACATTTCAGATCTCCTTTGCAGACAACAGCTTCTCGCGCCCAGCAGCGTTTGCTGCTCTACGGCAAGGTTTTGAAGCCACATGCGCTCTCCCTTTCAGGTCCCGCGCTCGAAGGACCGACGGAAGAAGCCGCGGCCGCTCCGGCAGCCCCGGCGCCCAAGAAGATGCAGCGTGGCAGAGAGAGGAGGGCCTGAGGTGGGTATGATGGAGATAAGATTGTGGTCGGACGACCGGTCCATGAGCTTCGTTTCAAGCCCACAAGTTGGTCTTTCTTAGTTTTGTCATGTGCCAGATGCAGGCACCCGGAGCCAAAGCCAGCTCGATCATCAAATTGAAAGGGAGCATGCTGGATGTGCCGCAGCGAGTTATGGGCGTTTTCTATGCGTTTTGTCCACGTGTCTTTCCAGTCAGACACATTTGCCTCTTGCCCACCCTAGAGTGTATGATGCCCGGGCGGAAGAGCAAGAATATCCAAGAATGTTTCCTTGAGTGCCCGAGCAGATGGATGCGAAGTTCTACTTCCATCCGCCTCAGAACTTTCTATCCTTTTCCTCTTCCAGTAAAGACAATATGCAAGCGTCTACTTTTTTTGGTTTATCCTGTTGTTAGCGTCCTCACTTTTTCTTCACACGAGCCAGGTCTAGAGCAAGTATTATCTTTCTGGGTTTTCATCTTCCTGATGTGCTCTGTATTATGCTAGCACAAAGTATAGTATGAGACAAGACCTGCAAACCTGCTAGCATGTTGTCGTGTTCGACATATTTCTGGAGCAATACTTTCCAGCATTTTGTGATGCTTGCCCCGGCGCTGTTGTTTGCTTCTAGCCACTTATACATTGATTTAAACAAATGCATGCTCAAGTGTTCGCTAAGTCGACCCCGTCCCCTTGTGGCTTTGGCTGCGGCCTAGTGCCTCAAACATGTCTATGGCCATGGCCAAGGCCAAGTAACACGCACGAATGGGTGCGATAGCTTTGCCCCTGCGCTTTACGCTGTGGCAACATGCTCAAAGGAGTGGTAATGACAAGCGCTGAATGTAGCGGTGCAATGAACCTGCAACGTCCGAGGGACCCTGAAGCTGTGCGGGCACAGATCCGGAAGATGGCCGGAGACGCGGTGATGCAGGACACGTGCTGCTGACGATTCGTGGGCCCTGTGTGGGGGCTTCTTTAGAGCAAGGAAAGGGCGCAGCAACTATGAATTCGGACGATTCCCTTGTTTTGACAGCGGGGCCACGTGGCAAAGTGTAAGGGCGTCTAGTTTCACTTACTCCTAATGTCTGAACACCATGGAAGCAAAACCTGCCCTTTTGACTTGCAGCCGTGTGCAACGGGCATTCGATCAGCTCTACCACGATGTCTCCCTGCGCTGCGTAAGAGCCTGATGCCTCGTTAGGCGGCAGCACGTGAATTCTTCCATTCATGCAAAGTATGTTGCCAGGCCTTGTGACAGGTCTGTTCTTGGCATAGCACGCAGGTCTGTTATCGTATCCAACGTGCGCACAGTTGGGGACCGCCTAGAGGAACATGGGCTTAGCATGAGAACGCCTGTGTCACTTCTTCCTTGCTGATTGCAGTAGAGGTTTCGCGTGGCCAGCAATGCACCTGCCCAAGATTCTGGACTGTCAGAGGTCTTACAGCCCAGCAAAAGCAAAACAGCCCGCAGCCCAACCGCTTAACCCAACAACCGAACCACAACAACGCAGCAGTTCAGGTGTCTCGTGATATCCTTCTTTAGCGGGTGGGATCTGATGGAGTCTTGCGCGACCTGCAGCCTGTAGCCTTGACTGAACGGAGGCGGCGAAGCGGTGAAGCTCATGCGCCGTCCGATGCGCATTTTTTTGTTTTTGTTTTTGTGTCACTTCCAGCGGCTTCGTGGATCTACAAGGGATCTTCCACTGTGCTGAATTTGCACCATCGCACAGGCTCCATGGATTTTTCACCAGGCTGGATCAAAACACAACGGAAACTGTGGCAATCCGATCGGCTTAGACAGAGCTCCTGTCCAATATAGTTGAGAACATGCACTGATGCGTTTGAGCATTAATCCAGAGAGCGGAAGGCGCCCGTTCACGCGTGCCACAAATTGGTTTTGGCTCACGACGCTTATTCGTTGCTCTTCCACGCTGCAAGGACGAGGTGATCGAGAACGATTCCGTCTTGATGGATGCGGGTATGGCTGCTTGGCTCACGCTGTATCAGACTGCCCTCTTGGCACTATGGCCCTTGACGCATTTCTTTACAATCGGTATTCTATTGTCGTCTCAAGAGCACTAGCGCACATGCATGCGGCAAAAAACCGGCAGCTCCCCTGTTCCAGGACAGCCTCACCAGCGTTTCTTTCCGAAACGAACTGGCCGTGCAGTTCCAGCTAAACCTCCCGGCACCTTGGCTTTAAGCATCTTGCGCCGGCAGAAGCTTCACCAGGCTGAACATGTTGCGTCTATTCAATCGGTCATCTTGGTGGAACAGAAAGCTCGAGCCACTGCAGGATTCCTGGTGTTTGCTTCGGACATTGTTAGCCTTGCAGGAGCGTGTGTGCAGGGACCTACCAAGGGTACCGGTTTGACAACTCGATCTGGTCCATGATAAGAAGCCTTTGACCTGCTTGGTTGCTAGAGATGGAAGTGGCGCCTTTTCTGACTGACACAGCCAGACACACATTGTGTCTCTTTCTAATGACCGCCTAGGCCTCGTTGATCTTCGACTATCCCTCTGTCGGCGAGCTCACCAAGTATCTTGGCCGATGGCTTTTTGCAGATCGTGCCTCTCAGTTTAGACCGCTATGACCAAGCTTTGGTTCTACCATTAGAAACATGTGTCATTGTGTGCAGTGGAGATGGGGATGTTGCACGAAGAACCTCGGCCTTTGTGTCTGCTGAGAAGGCCATCAGCATGAAACTGCCATCAGCTTGGTGCCTTCGCATGGCCCAGCTACGTTGCATTGTCAAAGCTAGAACACGGTAATTCCTTCACAAGAGTGAATTTGCAAAGCAAGCGCCAGGGAGGCAGATGAGTCGGCATGGCGAAAGCTGAATGAGTTCAGAAGGTTGCAGCTGAGCTGTTTTGTTTTTGTGTAGGAAGCCCAGTTGGTTCGAGTTGGCGTGTTTTTTCCCGTGGGACGATCAACTTTTGGCTTTGACTGTTCTTTTTGGCACGGGCTTAAGATCGGTTTGGTTGGACTCGAACAGACAGATGGATCGGAACCGAAAAACGAGGTGACACTGCTCAGCCTGCTCCGCCTTTCAGTCAAGCCTCACAGTGTCTGCCATAGGCACTTGCCTGACGCGTCATGATTGCTTTGCTCCACTGCCAAGGTTCATCGTGGATGCCACCAGCTCGTAGCGGGCATGGGATGTATTCCCCAGAGCGCACCCCGCTTGTCATTTTTGGACGCGGACTGTGGATGCAGCCGCGGCTGTAAGTTCTTTAAGTTTCAACGCAGGCGCTGCGTCCCCTGCAGCGCTTGTACTCTGCCGCCGGATCGTGATCCTGCTGGTGCCGTGGCCTCGCCTCATTTCAGATTTGGAGAAAGGCGCGCACCATGGGATTCGTAAGCTCGGTGACTGACCAGCGCAAGGACGCGTACATTGGCGTGTTTTAACTTGTTTGAAGCAAGCATGATCAGTCAGCAGTTTGGCGCCCCTCTGTTTAGGATCACATCTGCGCAATGATTGTGTTTGCCGCCTTCAATCAAATCCGTCGAACACAGGTTCAAACAAGTTGATGTTGATGATCTTGCAGGATGGCTTCGCAGGTACAAACAGGGACCGTACTGAAAGCAAAGACAAGGGGAGTTTCAAGCCCCAAACCAAACGCTGCCATAGGGGCCTTTGTATGGAGATTCCTGCAGGGCTCCAGCATTTGCTCTTGCCCTGCATGGTTTCCCTGGTAGATCTTGAGCATCAGAACCTCGGGGATTCCTCCGGTTTCTTAGACGAGCACCCCGGTGCTCGTCTCTGCCCTCTCTGCCCTCGCCTTCAAACAACCTGCGGAGTGCCTGCCAGGAGCTCAGCCGTCGGGCGCCCGTGAAGAGCCGCAGCGAAGGCACTCCCGACTTCAGCCCTCGACCACTGAATAGCTTTTGTGTGCGGATTTGCAAGCAGTTTGCATTGCCGAGTTGCAGCTTTTGGCAAGATTGAGCAGTAAGACTTTAAGACCAGAAGCCTGCCTTCTTCGACACAGCTTTGCTTAGGGGTAGTCATGTACCCCTTCATGCGGGATGTAGACAACCGTTGTAGGGTTTCCATTGAAAGGGGAGCATGGCCAGCTCAGAGGAGTTTGACCATTGCACACATGGCCCAAGCAAGAGAGCGTCTGCTAGATGCGCAGCGCACTGAATCCAGTGCCTTCATAGGCGGCGTAGACAGAAACTGAATGGACTCCCCTCACCCTTCCCCCTGACAATTGCAAACATCGTCTCTTTGAGGTCTCAGGGGTTCCCATGGCTGTCTTTCTCTGAATGGGCCCTCCTCCTTGCCAGGAGCACAAACTGGCGAGTTTACAAGTAGAAGGTGAAGTTTGCAATCTCATGTTGTAATATCTAGCAGCCTGGAATTCGAACAATATTTTTGCAATGATAGTGGGACATTCACTGACAATTGTTTTGGGGAGGCCCTGAACCCCTGAACGAATCGGAATTGGTGCCGGGGGTGGATGGGGATCTGCAAAGAACACATATGTATTGACTGATTGGTTTCGTTTATGAATGGGATGGGATTCTGCTTGACAGATCTTGGACAAGGCGTATAAGCCAGGCCAGTTCTACTAAGCGCTTCGCAGCGTAGTTCCGTTCTGCTGGAGGTGAATGAGAAAGCCGTCATGCTGGGCAGTCAACACATGATTTGGTCTGCGCTTTGTCAGCATTGTCTATACATGACTGACTTTGTCCAACGCATCAAACTATGGAGCATAGAGCTTAATGCTCAGCACACATGTCAGCGCAAAGCGATTTGCATTCTGTGGGGTTCAGGCGACTCGTTCCCGGGCGCCGGGCTGTCTACGGCTATTCGCGGGCCGGGCGCCTTGGAAAGTTCAAGCAAGCGCTCATTCATGCATGGTTTTTGGCATGCTTTGGATTTCTCAGCTGGAAGTGCAGGATAGAAATCGGTGCGTCGGAACTTCCAACTGAGCTCCCCTGACGGTCGGTTCGAGATTGCCTGCTGAGTTGGTTCGAATTTGCCCATGCCTTGCATCTTGTTCTTTTCGGCGGCTCGGTTCGAGCTCGGCCCAGCTCCCCACGTCCCCCCCCCGCTCGGATGAACCGGTGCTTGTGAACTTTGGCAAGGTGTGCGGGGCGCGTCGTGAAGGAAGGGTCCCGGGCGGTACCAGGTTTGATGGTACCAGGTAGCCCCTAACACTGGATCCGGGGCGACGGGGGCAGGCCCAACTCTCTGTGAACCGGAATACGGAGGGGTGAACTTGTGAACTTGTGTGCACTTGTGAACATCAGGGACGGTATATGGAGGGGTGTTTAGGCGTGAAGGAGGTTCAAGTCCGAAATCGACGGCCCGACCAACCTGTGACTTCATGGATTCACGGTGTTTTTCTTGCGCTGGAGGGCAGCCTCAGAAACTAGGTGGCTGGCATACAAGTTTCACCAAGTCTGAGCTTCCAATTAAGCTCCAAACCTTGCGACCGGTCGGCTCAAGATTGCTTGTCGAGTTTCTTTGTATTTATCCATTTCCATTGATTATTGCTTTTGTGTTGATCATTGCTAAAGGCACTTCTGCACCAGAACCGCGTTGCATGGAGTTGTTGCAAGTTGAGGTTCGGGCAGATCCCAGCGACGCCTCGTGCTGAGAGCGCCACCTTTGCTTGCGCCACTTTTGCTTGGGTCAAGCTTTGATGCGAGGTGAGCAAACTACATTCGGCCCATAGCGCTCGATTTCATGTGTCAAGAAGCTTGCGCCCGTGTAAGCATGTGCGTCGTTCTTGTTTGCGCCGGCTTCTCATAACTTGATTCGGGGGAGCATGCGAAGCAGCCCTGAGCACACCTCCCGTAGCACATGGAGTTTGTCAGTGTCAGTGCCGCAGGGGAAGTTTAAGTTGCTCAGGGCCCGACATTCATTCGTGAGCATGGTGTTTCTATGTGTTTGGATTGTGGCCATCTTTGGCTCAGCTGGGCCAGCCATGCGGCGACTGTCAGGCGCAGGCGCGGCCACTGGCTTGCCTGATAGCTGTGGCATCCTTTCCAGCGTCTCGAGACGGGTCCCCTTGGGATTGCAGTTTTAGGGCACATGGGGTGTCTCTAAATAGACCCTGAAGATGAGTAATTTTCTTTGCATTACCGAACCAACGCAGGATCCTCAAAAGCGAGGCGTTGCCACTGACAGGTGGGTGTGGGTCAAAAATATCCCACCAGGGGACCGCCTGTTTTAGTCATGGGTTCTATTTACAAGGGTTTCATTTTGGGTACCCATTTTTGACCCGCAGCCAAGTGTGGCCAGGCTTCCGGAGGGGCAGCACCGTTTCGGGCGTCACCTCCATCGCAGCGCCGCGGCCTGTCCCGCGCCTCGGCAATCGGACGCCCCGGTGCTCGCTACCGAGTATCTTGCTTTCAATGCCATTCAAATGCCAAAATGTCTCGCTACTCGAAGGTTCCTAGTTCTGCAATGCTGTGCATACTTGATGCACAATCTCGAAGGCGCTCAGCACAACCCCTGGACAGCCAATATGTAAAGAGAGGGACATAAATGGAAAACTCTTCGCGCTGCTCGCATCGGCCAATGTCAGTCGGATTGTTTTAGTTTGCTTCTGAAGCGCCATGTTTTCTGAGCGAGTGAGGCGGTCAAGATGTACGGTGGGTGCATGTTCACGTCTTAGACTTCAAATGTTTTGGATGTTGCTTGAAGAAATACGGAGGGGGCGGGGGGCTATGTGTGAGGATAGCGTGGTGGTGTGGCGTCTTGGCTGCTCACAAATGCAAAAGCTAAGCTTCTGTGGAAGCAGATGGTGTTGCATCTCAGTGGATGAAACAGTCACTTCGGAGACTGGCGCTGTATCTTGTGGCATAGGGGCCGTAGTCCAAGGGTAAGGGGTGCGGGTGCAGAGTACGGCGCTCCGTAGTCCCGCGGCCTGTGGCTGGCTGCCCTGAGGGCCGGGGTGGAGAGCCACGTCTGGGCTAGGTCCATACGCAAGTTGCTTATTTTGTCAGCCCGGAAGTTGTTTTTTCAAGAGGCTGGGTTAGATGGCTGGCCAACTGGGGCCTAATATGATATTGGCTGCTGTTGCAAGAGGTTGCGCTTGATCATGTTCTCGAGCTCTCATGATTCTCAAGCAGGATGCTGGGGCTCCAAGCCCGGGCCACATGTTCCTCAGATCTCTTCCACATTGCCGTGCGGACAGTCGGAGCCGACTGTCCATGCTGAGGCTGACGCAGGAAGCTCTGAAAGGGTTCCTCGAAAATTGCAACTTGGAGATGCACTGCATGGGGGGTGCGGGAGAGAAGGAAAGATTCGTCGGCACGTGATGTGGCGGTTCATGCAGTGGTTCCAGGATTCTAAGATGACGATGAGCAATATGACTTCAGTCCTTTGCAAAAGATAACATTTTGGCTTCAGCTCAGCATGCTTCGCTAGAGCCTTGAAGTTGCCCCAGTCGCAGAGGCCAAAGCGTGGGCAGCTTGGCGGTGTTTCTCATAGCCTATGCGAAGCTGTTGCTGCACACCAACCTTTTTGAGCCGCAGCTTGCTGCTAGCCCCTTGGACTACCAGCTGCTTTGGTTGGGATTTGTGGCGCCGGGGCCTTCGTTTTTGCACTTTTTTTGTTTGTTTCAGCAGTTTGGGATTCGTGACAGCGAATGCTTGCGGCATGCTCCATCGAACGATTTCGTGGCTGGCTCGGATTGCGGCCGCACTCCGATAGCTCCTCAATGGCTTAGCAGAGATTCGAACTCGCCGAGTGATTTCGTGGCAATGGATCGCCAGCGGGCAAAGAATCCGAATCGCCGAGAGCGAGAAGCCGAGAAGCCTCAGGCCTCATCTTGGTGGTGGCGGGCCTGACCACCTTCGAGCTCGGCCTCCGCCATGGCTTGATGCCGCTGGGGGAGGAGGCAGGGAGGCACAGGTCTGACGGGTCGGTTTTGTATAGCTTTCAGGGCAGTGGCCATGTGCGGCTAAATGGTTGGGGCCTGGAACTCTTCGCCTAGTTTTCACTCAGGCGAAGGTCGTTTCGCAGCGCACCTCCCTGATGACTCGGATGTCAGGTGGGCGTTGCCTTGCTGAAGGCTCCAAAGTACGTGGTCTTCCTCACAGCCTTTTGCCTCGCGGCCACTGAGCTGCGTGCAACTTCGCGAGCCGTCGAGCCGCCGTGCCCACTCGGGAGGTACGGCACAATTGCAGCCTCGGGAGCTTCGGGATCCTTCTTGCCTTTGGGGTGGAAGGGTGCGAGAGGATTTTCTTCAACAAGAAACAACGAGTTTCGAACCCCATCGGTCTAAACCTGGAAACCGAAGCGCGAAACGGACGAGCTTTTCCACGCCCGAGCTCGTGGTTTTTTCTCCGGGCTCAGGCAATTTGCACGGTGGGGGAACCCGCCATGGGCTCTCTGGAAGAGGCGGGGAAGTTCGCCCACCCTACGAAGGTGCCGCCCCTTGGAATGGTTTGGGGTCGGTTTGATCTCGTGCGGGCCGGGAAGACACACGAGTGTAGCCGGTACATGGATTTCATGCCGATTGTGTTTCTGAATGAGAGTAGCAAACCACAGATCTGTGTCTACTGGTGCGGGCATTGTGATTTAAATTGCTGCTAGTCAAACGTTGGAGACACACCGGTCACCCCATGTTGGCCATGTGGTCTGGGATTCCTATTCTGCTGCCACACCTCTGAGTAGCAGAGCAGCAGGGCAACAGCAGGAGGAGGTGACAAGTCAGACTTTGACCACGTCAGCAGCCCACTGCGCTAAAGCCACGTTGCCCGGGCTTTTGCTGGCTGCCACTGCCCTCACGATGCCGAGCAGAGCCACAAGGCACCTGGCAGCACACACAAGCGCGCAGGGCCACGCCGCGCGCTGCCACGACGCCATGCTGAGCCAAGGCAGCCAAGGCCGCACAATTGAGATAGCCAATGCAACACGATCCCCGCCATGTATCTGCAGGAAGGCAGCTTTGGATGATGCTCAATGCTGCATTGGCCGTGAGGTCTTCCTGGTTAAGCTAAACATCCTTGAAGTCTGGAAGGTGCTTCCTCCTAAATCTCATGGTAGACGGATGTTTCCTTACGGGGATCCACTCCGCAGCGAGCAAGGCGAAGCTAGGAAGCGTTTCTTTCTGGGATGCTGGCCGCCCTTGTGACATGAGCACCTCCTTTTCTCGGTTCGAGGCGTCCGAGCCATCCGAGCCCGAGCAAAGTTTGGCTAAAAATAGATGGCACTGGTTTAGATGGGTTTTTGTTCCATTTGCCGGGGCCATCTATTTTTGCAAAAAGCCACCTATGAGCCCAAGGCTCTTAGTTCGGATCCTGAAGCAGCCAGTGGTACTGTTGCTGGCGGTGGCGCTGGCGGTGGGCTTTGCCGCCGTGCTGGGCTGTGCCCTCGGCATGGGGGTCCACCGGGCGTGTGATTTGCCATCGAGGGGCCGCCTCCTTTGCCGAAGTTAATGCTGGACCTGCTTTAATGTGACCCCCCCCCAACAGTGGAACCAGTCTTCTGGACCTCTTTAGAGAAGATCCTGGGGGTCAGGGAGGGATAGAACTTACAGAAGTATTGCCGATTCTACTTTAGTATATTACCCTCAGATTCCCAGTACTTACTTTAGTATTGCCAATTTTACTTCAAGTATTACCAAGGCCCCCTCTCCAATTCTACTTAGTATTGCCAAGGCTGACTTTCAGATTCCCAGTACTGTCTGTAGTATTGCCAATTCTACTTTTGGTATTGCCAAGACCCGCTTTTTCCAGCAACCCCCCAAAATAGTTGGACACCACAGAGAACCCCAAAACAGTCGCATTAAAGAGGATCAGGGCCTCTTGTGGGTACGCCCCTTTGTGCGAATGTTTGCCCTTACTTTTTTTTTGTAAAGAAGTTATTTAGATTTGATGGTTTGGGAACCATTTCAATGAAACAAATTCCTACTGTTTGCCCGGATTTGTTTGCCAGACTTCTTTGGCTAGTTGTTTTTGCTCCGTTTTTTTTTTCCCTGGCAGTACCTTTTGTCTTTTTTTGTTTTTGTGGGGAAAACTTGCCACAATAGAGGACCCCAAAACTGTCCAACGATCCAGACTTAGGAAAACACCTTACACAATACAGGCTACTGCCATTAAAGCGTTAATGTCCAACAGAAAGCAGTGGCAACATTTCGCTTGTAGTTTCAATCAAACAGGTGACATGATGCCATAGCGAAGCGTTTTGCATGACACGGTTGACAACATTTGAGAAGGGTAGACGTCTTTGCACACGTCCGATGTGTCAGCACATGGTCTTACTGGCGCCCTGATGATACAGGAGCACGCAGCTGTGGGCATGCCAATCTACGTCAAACATAGTGAGCTAGTTGCACACTGGTCAGGCCTTGTCAGCTGCCACACAAAGCCTTAGATTGCCATTCCAGATCCCCAGATCTCCCAGAGGTACAGCCATTGTTGCACGAAATCAAGGCATTCGCCTGCTCTACGACCTGAGCATCAAGCGGTGTCTGCTATTTTCCGCTCTGCCAGCATTGATCGCCACAATTGCTTGCGCCACTCGGCACTTGTCGCGGCTGTTGTGCCTGGATCATGACTTTCTCTGTTTTAGTGGATGTGGCAGTTGCCCGAGTTGAGCAAATGGGGCAGGGGGCTGGGGGCCGCCAAGCAAACCCTTGCATTGGAGCAAGAGAGTTTCGTCACTGCATCATGTGTGCTATGCTCCCCGCCCACACCAGAAGCTGGTATTCTGCGGGCCTTCCTAGCAGCAGGCCATGGGGGAATCACATTGAGAAGTTCTGAGCTCCGCACTGTTCATTTTGGAAAGAGAAACCGCGGAAGAGACTGGTGTCCAAAAGGCTGGTGATATCGGGCAATTGGTGAAGGAGTGCTCAGACACAGAGGATGTGAGTCACAATCAACACCCGGCCAGATGAAGGTTCGTAAGGGGCAGTCCCAGCCGGAATTAGCCACGGCCACCTTCAGAATCCTTTACGTGGTTCTGGGATTACGACCATTGTAGTACCTGGTTTTGATCATGCCTCCCAATGGTACCATTTTGGGGTAGGTGCTCCACCCATTTTAGAACCTATTTTAGTGGGGATTGGGATGCTCACTAAAATTACGATTTGGGTTTTCACCCATGGCCTTTTTTGTTGCTAACCTGCCAGTCCCGGCTAGACCGTTGCAAGCCGAAGGCGAGCAATGGGGGCGCGCTGCCCCAGGTGGCAAGCCTCGCCTGGGACTGTGGTGCTGTGACCACAGGCAGGTCTGCGCATATCTCAAGTGCAACATGTTGGACAAAATATGGCCATGAATTGTCCACAAGGAACCACCTCCAAAGTGGTGGGTGGACAGCAATCCCCACCTAAATGGTGTCCACCACAGGGTCCCTGATTAAAATTCACAGCCATATGTCCCTAAGGGACTCTAAGGCTTTCTCTTGGCTTGATGGAAAATCGAAGCATTGAGAACTCTTGGGCCTATGAAGAGCTCCCAATCCAAGGTGACTGTACTTTGGCAATGATTGTGAATGTGAGTGACGCATTTGATTTGGGGGACACTGAATTGGGCGCACCAAGTTCCTGAGTTCCAAGAGAGCGTAGGACCCGTCACCGTGCCCATCGTCTTGTCACTGGGCATCGGGCTCACTGCGAGGGCGGTGGGCGAGTATGCGGAGGCCTGGGTGTCTAATGCCAAGCATGCGGCCTAAGCTGGCAACCCTAGCTCGAGCCAGTCGAATGAGTTGCTCTCCAATTTTGCTCAGCCAGCATGGCCATACTTTGTTGTCGGATTTTTAGGGTTGTGTTGCGTGGGACGCAATGCAAGTTGTCTCCTTGGCAACATTCCACGTGCAGAAAAGTGTCAATATTGGATTGTCGGTAGACGATTCCAGAATACTCCGGCCCTTTTCGCCTGAACCTACAAGCACACCCCGGTTGATTTCATCATGAACCTTATTTGATCCATTTGAGCTATGCCAGGAGACAGAGCCGGAGCTCTCTGGCTTTGGCATCGTCTCTTTAGCATCGCTGTTTCCAGCTGCCTGGATACGTATTTGTGCATTGACGTACCGAGATATTGATGGCCAGTACCAAGCCCGTCGTTTGCACCAGGTGCATCTCCCATTGAGACGCACCCACTTGCCCAGGTCTTCAGTGTGTGGGCACTGGCTGTGGCATTTGGTGGCCGAGCGGTCACTGCAGAGCCATTCCTCACGAACACGACCATCGTCGAAGACGAGGTCCAGATGCTCTTGGACTCGGCCTTGGTGCCGTGCCGTTCTTTATTGCCCCCTACGGGTGCCTTGGCATATGACATGTGATTCCTTTGTTTTTCCAAGGAAGTTGATCCGCCAATTAATTTGTGTGCGTGATTGAGTGCTTGTTGGGAAGGCAAGTTTGCGGTGGCACTCAACAAAGGTTGCCCTGGTGACGCCTGTTCGGCTAGTGAGTGCACATTGTGTCACACATGTATGTTGCATTGGTTTCACGTGTGTGTGTGTGTGCGCGTGTGTGTGTGTGTGTGTGTGTGAGAGCAAGTGTGTGTGTGTGTGTGTGTGTGTACTTGTCTCTCACACGCGCACACACACACACACATATACACACAGGGTGTGATTTGGCAGCAACAGGAACCGCTGAGTATATGTTGAGTCCTCGTTGCGGGACTTTTTTGGCTGTTCTGATGGGCTGTACAGAGAAATAAATTCAAACCTCGCAAAAACCAGGCTCACTTACAACATGAAGGCATTCTGCTTGAACCATTTCCAAGATCTGTTTTGAGCAATGGATCAAACAGGCTTGAGCTGCGGGTGCTTCATCATTCATTGGAGGCATCCGAGAAGGAACTGGACGCAAAGAAGCAGATAAGAACGACACCTTAGTAGAATATCGGTACATTCACGCCTGACCTTGATACGCTCAATTCATTAAGCGTTGAGTGCACGACTTTCCGGGTTGCATGATCATCCTCCAGTTTGTAGTGCCTTGCCATTGCCAGGAAGCTCATCGTTGCCAGAGTTTTGTAGATTCATGTAAGGTAAACATACATGTACTGCACACATATAACAGCTCAAATTCCCAAGACCTAAGCCACGTGGCCTCAACTCTGTGCTCTAGAAGATGAGCTCCCCTATCCCCAAAGGGGTGCTTGTGATGGCACAAATTTGTTGTTGCTTCTCTCAGCCTTGAGCCGAGGCTGTCTCCTGCTTATTCAACTCATGCTGAAAGAGCCGCTGCAAGACACGTCCACCACCTTCAGCGGCATCACTGCCTGCTTCGCAGGTATGTTCATGTTGCTCGGACACTCGCCACTTGCGAAAGCGTGGCCAGATAAGGCTGTGGGTCAAAACCAATGGTACCATTTTGTGGTGGGTGCACCACCCATTTTAGTCTACTTTAGTGAGGATTGGGATATTCACTGGGGGCACGATTTGGGTTTTGACCCATAGCCAATAAGACTCTTCCATGTCAGACTTCGGGCCAACTTTTGGGCCATGGAAGCGGACAAGCTCCGAGGTTCACCCTGGGCTTGCACCGGGGCCTCTTGCCGCTGGGAATCGGTGTTGGCCGTCTCTTGCCCTCGGCCGTGCTGATTTATGGAGAGGCGCACGGGCTCCTTGTGCTTGTTGAGAGCTTGTGATTGGCCTTGAGTCCGGACATGTGACGGGATTTGCGATCATCACACGGACCAGCTACCCGTTGGTTAGGAACTTTCAAATTCGTGCTTTAGCTGCCGCTCGAGCACAAAAGCGGCCAATACGATGTCCCTGCATTTCTGCTCATTAGAGGCAACTGATCGTCAATTGGTTTGACTTTAAACAAGTACATCATACTTTCAGCACAAAGCAGTGCTGAAGAGTCAAGCCGGAACTTAGGGTTGCGAGCGCTTGGCGCTTTGGCCTTTCCGTTTTTTCGCACGAGGCCCTGGGGGCCTTCACGATCTTGGGCTTCGGGTTCCTGGTGGGGACCCTGGCCACCTGCAGCGAGCCCGCGCTGGTGCCCTGACGAAAGCGCTAGACCGCAAGCGAAGGAGCCCTAGACTTGGCTTTTCATAGGCTCGTACCTACAAGCACGGGTGTTTGTATATATATATATATATGTGCCTTGGCACGATGTATGCCAGAAGCACCCTAGGTACGAGCCTAAACCCTTTGGATGTTTCGCGCATCCCTATGGAGAAGGAAAGGGGCAGATGGGTTGAGTCACCTCAAACAAAGACATTGCTTGAGTGAGGAAACCAGAGGCCGCAGGTGTTTCGGATGGCGCTTTGCGGCCATTGGATTGTTCTTCGGGGTTCCGAATTGGGGCGGCGAGCCATGCCCTTTTTTTTTGAAGCTGCCAAGCCTTGGTTTGGTCGAGGAGAAACTGAGGGGATTCCGCCGTGACAGGGAGCAGGGGCCATAGCTGGAAAAAGTGTAAATGGTCTATGCCCGAAACCTGGAGGCGTCTAGAGTGATGCTTAGCATGGCTGTTGGAGCCATGTCAACGCAGGTGGCACTGGGCAAGACGGTGGAGAGGCTCTCCGCGGGGCAGTTCCCGAAGGCGAAGGGACGTTGCGCCGAAAAAGGGAGCCTGGTTGAGGGGCAGGGAACTTGGTTGAGTGATCTGGATGTTTCAGGGAAATTGGTGAGTGATCTTGGTGATATCTTGATGTTGATGTACCCATGTACCACATATTTTGATGTTCACCAGGGGTACAGGGTGTTGACCCACAGCCATGTTTGTTCTGCATGCCAGTTTCGAACAGGCCAAACACACGGCATTCAGCTTTTGAGCTTCGCTTTGCACCGTTGCTTCTTGCGATGTCTCTCAACCTCTGAAGGCAGCTGCTCGAATGGGTTCAGCTCGAACCCGTCTAGAAGACATTTAGGGTACCCCTTTTGTGGCCAATGCGTATCAAAAGCAGGCACAAGACTTCCTGCTGCACGCCACCTTTATGCTGTCTTGCAAGATCTTGCAAGACACCGCTTGCCCCTGTCTTTCGCGCTGCTAAGGGTAGTCCTCGGTGTTCAAGTGTTCGAACTGACTCCCAGATCCGGCGGCAAATCCGCCAGGATCGGCTGGTTTTTTCAGCAGCCGTGGGTGTGGGCGCTGGCACAGCGCTCGGAATGGCGAAGGTCTTTTATGGCGCCTTCGGCCAGAGAGCTTTTTTGGTTTTGTCTGGGACGGGGCGAAGGTTTTTCAAGTTGAATGGTCTTCAGTTTTGGTGTAATCGGAACTTTGAAAGGTTTGGCCGGTTGGCATGTTGACCCTTTGGCCAGGAGGCCGCTAAGGCAATAGGACACTTAGACTTGATCGGCTTGCCGAAACAGCTTCCGTGTCTTCTGCATTAGACAGGCACTTGCAACAGAGATCCAAGAGCCAAACCCCAATTCAGATTCCTGAAGCTGCATCAATGTCTTCTTCGCTGGGGTTTCTTGTAAGCATAACGAGCCCTTTCTTACTGCTATTTCTGCAGCAGCTGTTAGTTGGCAGTTGTGCCCTTTGCTTCAGCAAATCTGGCTCAAGCTTTGCAAGTGGAGACAATTCACGGGTGCCATGTGAGTCATGATTTCCATACCTCACATTGCCACCGTCCTTCAGCACATGATCCGACTTTTGACATTCGGTTGTGTCCGTTGCTGATGAACATGGAGCCTCCGCAACTGGAGGGTTTGCTCCGGAAATGATGGCCTTCTGGGTTCTGTGTTTATCTGCAAGGGAGTATGCCTGGCGAAAGTTACTCTCACACTACCGGTGCGGCTACCCTCCGTTCATCCCTTTGGAAGCGACAGCGTGAAGCCCATGAAGGCAACATTCGTCCGTGCTTCATCGACAGTTCATGAGAGTCGGCACTGATGTTTTCACTTGCGAAGCATGCCCTCACCATCATGCACACCTTTCAACGAACTCAAGCCAAGGCACACAAAGAGAAGCGCTCCACAACTACAGAATTCAACAGTTCTTGTCAAGTCTGGTTGTGGGAATCTAGCAGGGGTCACGTTGTGCGTGCCCAGAACCAGCCACTTCGACAGATGCGCTGAGGCCTTGAGTTGTTCTACATACTGCTTGTCGGCTACTCGCTGTGTCTGGTATTGACCTTCCTCGCGGATGACGCACCTGGCCAGCGATGTTCAGACCCATGTTGAAACATAGGAAACCAGGATCGGTAGCTGTCCGGTGTAGATGAGATCGGTAGCTTTGAGTGGCGATGATATGTTTTGTCGGCGCATCTCATTTTGGTCCCGACCTCTGCGTTTACATTAGTCATTCGCAAGTTGATACTCAAACACTGACGCCGAATTTGTTGAAAGCTGGATGTCGATACTGAATTCAACGGATGGTCATTCTTGAAGCCGACGTGGCAAGCAACTGACGGTGTGTGTGTGTGTGTGTTTACGCGTGTTTGTTTCTTTGCGCGTGCGCGTGCGTGTGTTCTTTGCTGAAGACTGAGGGTGGCTAGCCATTTAAAGCAAACACACGCGGCGCAATGTGCATCAAGAATGTCTCATTGCTTTTAAGGAGGTATCCTAGTCCAGGCAGGGCTTGTCCATGATTTCATCTCTAAATTACAGTATTTTTTGTAGAGCGGCTGACTGCCTTCCCCGCCTGTGGGTCACGTGTGCCATGAAGGTATGGTCCATATCCCTGAAGGATCGTTTCACCCCCCCAAAGACAAAAGAAGGACAAAAGCAAGTGCTGGTCTTCTGGCTCCCTTTATAACCACTCCAAAAGGCAGTTTTTTCAAGAACAAGGAGAGACCCTCCAATTCCAAAAGGCATATTCCCACCAAAAAAGACATGACACAACATCCAAGGATCTCCCCCAAACATGAGACGAGAAGAGTCTCGATTTTTTTCCCCAAGGATCTCCCCAAAATTCTCCCCAAGAGGAGACACCACCCCAAGGATCTCCCCAACACATGGCAGGAGTCTCGTGTTTCCCGCGTCTCTTTTCGGGAGGCCCTGGCGGCGATCGCCTGGGACTCCGCGGGGGTTACCACAGGGCCCATGACGGTGCCGGTGGTGCTGAGCAGCGGCCTGGGCCTGGGCAAGGCCGCGGAGGTGGGCGAGGCCTTCGGCATTCTGCCCGGGGCCCTAGGCGCAGGCGAAGCAGGCGTCCACAACACCGACGTCCTGGCGAGACTTTTGGGACAACCCAAAAATGTGGTTCGATTTTTTTTGGCTCCAGGTGGAAAAAGCAGGACATGGAATGCTCTTGATATGGAAAAAATGCCAATATAGTCGTGGTCTATTTAAGAACGATGAATGAAATCGAGGAGATTTGTATTGGCTGCTGCCCTTGAACACAGCATGCATTGTTTTTTTCCAACCGCAACTTGCGAAGAAGGCGAAGAAGGCGTCCACCGACCCGGCGACATGTGGCGAGTTTTTAGAATCCAAATTGGGGGAAGCACCCAACATGTGGTTCGAATCTTTTGGCTCCCCAGGCCGAAAAAGCCAACTTGCGGAAAAGAACGCGTCCGACCCGGCAAGGTTTGGGGCTGGACTGCGAAATAGGGGAAGCAGAATCCGAAATGGGTTGCCTTGGTCTGGTAAACTGTCGGACGTCCACCTGGCGAGTTTTGGGGCTGGACTGCGAAATAGGGGAAGCAGAATCCGAAATGGTTGCCTTAGTCTGGTAAACTGTCGGACGTCCACCTGGCGAGTTTTGGGGCTGGACTGCGAAATAGGGGAAGCAGAATCCGAAATGGGTTGCCTTAGTCTGGTAAACTGTCGGACGTCCACCTGGCGAGTTTTGGGGCTGGACTGCGAAATAGGGGAAGCAGAATCCGAAATGGGTTGCCTTAGTCTGGTAAACTGTCGGACGTCCACCTGGCGAGTTTTGGGGCTGGACTGCGAACTAGGGGAAGCAGAATCCGAAATGGGTTGCCTTGGTCTGGTAAACTGTCGGACGTCCACCTGGCGAGTTTTGGGGCTGGACTGCGAAATAGGGGAAGCAGAATCCGAAATGGGTTGCCTTAGTCTGGTAAACTGTCGGACGTCCACCTGGCGAGTTTTGGGGCTGGACTGCGAAACCCTTGGTCTGGTAAACTGTCGGACGTCCACCTGGCGAGTTTTGGGGCTGGACTGAAATAGGGGAAGCAGAATCCGAAATGGGTTGCCTTAGTCTGGTAAACTGTCGGACGTCCACCTGGCGAGTTTTGGGGCTGGACTGCGAAATAGGGGAAGCAGAATCCGAAATGGGTTGCCTTGGTCTGGTAAACTGTCGGACGTCCACCTGGCGAGTTTTGGGGCTGGACTGCGAAATAGGGGAAGCAGAATCCGAAATGGGTTGCCTTGGTCTGGTAAACTGTCGGACGTCCACCTGGCGAGTTTTGGGGCTGGACTGCGAAATAGGGGAAGCAGAATCCGAAATGGGTTGCCTTGGTCTGGTAAACTGTCGGACGTCCACCTGGCGAGTTTTGGGGCTGGACTGCGAAATAGGGGAAGCAGAATCCGAAATGGGTTGCCTTGGTCTGGTAAACTGTCGGACGTCCACCTGGCGAGTTTTGGGGCTGGACTGCGAAATAGGGGAAGCAGAATCCGAAATGGTTGCCTTAGTCTGGTAAACTGTCGGACGTCCACCTGGCGAGTTTTGGGGCTGGACTGCGAAATAGGGGAAGCAGAATCCGAAATGGGTTGCCTTGGTCTGGTAAACTGTCGGACGTCCACCTGGCGAGTTTTGGGGCTGGACTGCGAAATAGGGGAAGCAGAATCCGAAATGGGTTGCCTTGGTCTGGTAAACTGTCGGACGTCCACCTGGCGAGTTTTGGGGCTAGACTGCGAAATTCGGGGAAACCCAATCCGACATGCGGCGAGTTTTTGGGACCGGACGCCAAATCCAAAATGAGTTGCCTTGGTCGGATAAATGGGACATGGACAGAAACCTGCGGTGCCCTTGGTTTAATTTGGACCCAGGCTGCTGCAAGTCGGGCTTCCGTATTCAACTTTTTCAAGGCAGCAAACAATTGACCTGAAGTCACAGGGGCCCGAAAGGAGTCTTCATCTTCCCCCAAACGATGCCTAAGGGAGAGCCTTCGACACCAATTTGTGATTTTCTGATTGGGATGTGACGTGAAGGCCACTGCCAGTCGAGGAGCTGTGCCTCCATGGGCCCCATCCTGGCCGTGCTGCTGAGCTCGCTGATCGGCGAGCGGCACACAACTCGGACCTCCCGGCTCACGGAGATGCAGATCATGGGCGGTCTCCGCTCCGTGCCGGTGGCTGAAACGGAGAAAGCCGCAAAAGCGTTCCGGGATCGGATGGGGCACATGGGACTTGTTGGACCGTCTTGAACCAAACGAGTCAGATCTAGAATGTGGCTGTCACGCGATGGCGGTGCTGTCAAATGGCCAGGCATGCTCGGTCAACAGCTTTACTTCTGAAATGAGTTGCTGTGGTGTTGGCTTGCCAGGCAAAGCGCACAACACAGATTGATCAAATAGTCGACTGCCCTTCCACTCGGTTTTACATGAAGCAGGACAGCTGAAGCCTCGAACATTCGAGTTCATTGTGAAGGAAGGTTTTTGGCAGCTGCACAACATCATGTTGGGCCGGGGGCAGGCTGCATTGATTTTAAGTTCAGTATTGCCAAGCCTTACTCTCAGATTTCAGAATTGGGTTTAATAGAACGGGCTACGCCCGGGTGCCGCCGACCCTTTTTTTTTTGCGGGCAACAGTTCCCGTTAGCCCCTGGGTTCGCAACCACGGCGCACGCAGCGCAAGGTCAAACGTATGCGGAGGGCGTCGTCATGGATATGCAGATAGGAGAGGCGGGAGACCCAATGACGGCATACATTGCGCTGACGCGAGTCAAGAACAGGCAAGGTCTGTTTTTGTATCGACCTTTCGATGCCGCTCCATACCAAAAAGGCGCCAAGCCTGGGAGAGGCTTGCTGCTGCGGACTTGGCACGGGGAAGACATCGACTGGTCGAAGCTGCGCGCCAAGTACCGGGAGGAGAGGGTCTGCACGGAATGCCGAGAGCACAAGCCAGTCGCAGCGTACACAGCAGGGCAGTGGAAGCGGACAGACCTAGACAGAGTCTGCAAGGAATGCGTGCGTGGGCACACAGAAGCCAACCAGCCGTGGCAGTGCAATGCGTGCAAGGGCTGGAAGCAAAGGGATGCTTTTGCGGAGAAGTACGCTGCCAACCAATGCAGCTTTTATCGCGTGTGTGCCACGTGCGACCTGACGAAGTTCTGTGATGGCTGCAAAGTGCGCAAGGGGCAGGCCGAGTTTGCGGCGGATGCTTGGAAAAGGAAGCGCGGCAAGGAACGTCTGTGCAAAAGCTGTGCCTGCACCTGGAAGGGGTTTTGGACTTGTGCCGTATGTCGCGGTCGGAAAAAGATCGCGGCGTTCGCCGGGCCCGAAAACGGCAAGCAAGTGTGCGACACATGTCGCAGGAACAAGGGGAAGCAGAACAGCGTAGCGCGCGCTGCTGTGACGGTGCGGGCCTGGCGAAAGCAGGCAGCAGAGCGGCAACGCAGGCGTCTCGTTGCGGAAGTGTGGTCGGAAATTGCGCAGCAGCAGGCCGCGGCCGGCAGCAGGGAGGAGCCGTCGCGGAAGGTGCCGAGGCTGGCAGAAAGTTACACGTACAGCTGCCCAGAGTGCCACGCAAAAGTTACCAGCACATGCCGAAGCGGACGCGTGGATCAGCGCCGCAGCTGTGGACATCGGTTCCGCGTGCAGGACGGCGTCGTGGTGAACACCGATCAGCATGCAGCACGTCGCACGTACAGCTGCCCAGAGTGCGACGCAGAAGTAACCAGCACCGCCCGAAGCGGACGTGTGGATCAGCGCCGCGGCTGTGGACATCGGTTTGCCTGGACGCGCGTCGTGGTGAACACCCAGCAGCAGGCAGCACGTCACATGTACAGTTGCCCAGAGTGCGACGCAGAAGTCACCAGCACCTCCCGAAGCGGACGTGTGGATCAGCGCCGCGGCTGCGGACATCGGTTTCGCGTCCAGGACGGCGTCGTGGCAAGCACCTACCAGCATGCATGCCCGAACTGTGGCACGCTTGTGCGGATGGGCGGATCCGAGCTGCGCACAGCACGCCGGCCGGGCGACAATGTGAGCGCCGCAGCTGGGAAGTGCCGGCAGCAGCCTGAACGACCCAAAGGGAAGAAGAGCCAGGCTTGGAAGCAAGCCTGCCTACGGAAAAAGGAGCGACAAGTGAGGCTTGGAGAACGCCGGGCCAGCAGTTTCGGAACCCGTTACGTAGACTAGCAGGGGCCCAGGAGCGACAGGGCCAAACCCAGCCCAGGCACGGCCGGGCCACAGCCACGCAAAGGCGCGCCCCCCGTGCCCCCCGAGACGCCCAAGCGCAGTGGCAGGGCGTCCCCAAAAGTGCCAAAAATGGAGCGAACAGCGCGCGCGGAGGGTGCCGGAACGGCAGGTTCGGAACCCGTTACGAAGACTAGCAGGGGCCCGGGAGCGACCGGGCCAAACCCAGCCCAGGCAGCCACGCAGAGGCGCGCCCCGCGCCCCCCGCGCCCCCCGAAACGCCCAAGCGCAGTGGCAGGGCGTGCCCAAAAGTACCAAAAATGGAGCGGGACAGGGCCAAACCCAGCCCAGGCACGGCCAGGCCGCAGCCGCGCAGGGGCGCCCCCCCCGCGCCCCCCGCGCCAGTTTCGGAACCCGTTACGAAGACTAGCAAGGGCCCGGGAGCAACAGGGCTCAACCCAGCCACGGCCGGGCCGCAGCCACGGGTGCCGGAACGGCAGTTTCGGAACCCGTTACGAAGACTAGCAGGCCCAGGAGCGACAGGGCCAGACCCAGCCCAGGCACGGCCGGGCCGCAGCCACGCAGAGGCGCGCCCCCCGCGCCCCGCCCCCCGCTGCCCCCCGAAGCGCCCCCCGAACCGCCGAAGCGCAGTGGCAGGGCGTGCCCAAAAGTACCAAAAATGGAGCGAAAAGGCGCGCGCGGAGGGTGCCGCCGTTAGAAGACTAGCAGGGGCCCGGGAGTGACAGGGCCAAACCCAGCCCAGGCACGGCCGGGCCGCAGCCGCGCAGAGGCGCGCCCCGCGCCCCCCGCGCCCCCCGAAACGCCCAAGCGCAGTGGCAGGGCGTGCCCAAAAGGACCAAAAATGGAGCGAAAAGGCGCGCGCGGAGGGTGCTGGAACGGCAGTTTCGGAACCCGTTACGAAGAGTAGCAGGGGCCCGGGAGTGACAGGGCCAAACCCAGCCCAGGCACGGCCGGGCCGCAGCCGCGCAGAGGCGCGCCCCCCGCGCCCCCCGCGCCCCCCGAAACGCCCAAGCACAGTGTCAGGGCGTGCCCAAAAGGACCAAAAATGGAGTGAAAAGGCGCGCGCGGAGGGTGCCGGAACGGTGTTTCGGAACCCGTTCCGGGAGCGACACGGCCAAACCCAGCCCAGGCACGGCCGGGCCGCAGCCACGCAGAGGCGCGCCCCCCGCGCCCCCCGCGCCCCCCGAAACGCCCAAGCGCAGTGGCAGGGCGTGCCCAAAGGCACCAAAAATGGAGCGAAAAGGCGCGCGCAGAGGGTGCCGGAACGGCAGTTTCGGAACCCGTTACGAAGACTAACAGGGGCCCGGGAGCGACAGGGCCAAACCCAGCCCAGGCACGGTCGAGCCGCAGCCACGCAGAGGCGCGCCCCCCGCGCCCCCCGAAACGCCCAAGCGCAGTGGCAGGGCGTGCCCAAAAGTACCAAAAATGGAGCGAAAAGCGCGCGCGGAGGGTGCCGCAACGCCAGTTTCGGAGCCCGTTACGAAGACTAGCAAGGGCCGGGAGCGACAGGGCTCAACCCAGCCCAGGCACGGCCGGGCCGCAGCCACGCAAAGGCGCGCCCCCCGCGCCCCCCGCGCCCCCCGAAACGCCCAAGCGCAGTGGCAGGGCGTGCCATAAAAAGTACCAAAAATGGAGCGAAAAGGCGCGCGCGGAAGGTGCCGGAACGGCAGTCTCGGAACCCGTTACGAAGACTAGCCGGGCCCGGGAGCGACAGGGCCAAACCCGGCCGGGCCGCAGCCACGCCCCGCGCCCCCCGCGCCCCCCGAAACGCCCAAGCGCAGTGGCAGGGTGTGCCCAAAAGCACAAAAAATGGAGCGAAAAGCGCGCGGAAGGTGCCGGAACGGCAGTTTCGGAACCCGTTACGACGAAGGGGCCCGGGAGCGACAGGGCCAAGCCCAGCCCAGGCACGGCCGGGCCGCAGCCACGCCCCGCGCCCCCCCCGAAACGCCCAAGCGCAGTGGCAGGGCGTGAAAGCACCAAAAATGGAGCGAAAAGCGCGCGCGGGAACGGCAGTTTCGGAGCCCGTTACGAAGACGAGCAGGGGCCCAGGAGCGACAGGGCCAGACCCAGCCCAGGCACGGCCGGGCCGCAGTGCCCCCCGCTCCCCCCGCGCCCCCTAATCACGCCGAAGCGCAGTGGCAGGGCGTGCCCAAAAGTACCAAAAATGGAGCGAAAAGGCGCGCGCGGAGGGTGCCGGAACGGGAGTTTCGGAACCCGTTACGAAGACTAGCAGGGGCCCGGGAGTGACAGGGCCAAACCCAGCCCAGGCACGGCCGGGCCGCAGCTGCGCAGAGGCGCGCCCCCCGCGCCCCCCGCCCCCCGAAACGCCCAAGCGCAGTGGCAGGGCGTGCCCAAAAGGACCAAAAATGGAGCGAAAAGGCGCGCGGAGGGTGCCGGAACGGCAGTTTCGGAACCCGTTACGAAGAGTAGCAGGGGCCCGGGAGTGACAGGGCCAAACCCAGCCCAGGCACGGCCGGGCCGCAGCCGCGCAGAGGCGCGCCCCCCGCGCCCCCCGCGCCCCCCGAAACGCCCAAGCGCAGTGGCAGGGCGTGCCCAAAAGGACCAAAAATGGAGCGAAAAGGCGCGCGTGGAGGGTGCCGGAACGGCAGTTTCGGAACCCGTTACGAAGACTAGCAGGGGCCCGGGAGCGACAGGGCCGAACCCAGCCCAGGCACGGCCAGGCCGCGCAAAGGCGCGCCCCCCGCGCCCCCCGCGCCCCCCGAAACGCCCAAGCGCAGTGGCAGGGCGTGCCCAAACGTACCAAAAATGTAGCGAAAAGGCGCGCGCGGAGGGTGCCGGAACGGCGTTTCGGAACCCGTTACGAAGACTAGCAGGGGCCCGGGAGCGACACGGCCAAACCCAGCCCAGGCACGGCCGGGCCGCAGCCACGCAGAGGCGCGCCCCCCGCGCCCCCCGCGCCCCCCGAAACGCCCAAGCGCAGTGGCAGGGCGTGCCCAAAAGCACCTAAAATGGAGCGAAAAGGCGCGCGCGGAGGGTGCCGGAACGGCAGGCAGTTTCGGTCGGAACCTGTTACGAAGACTAACAGGGGCCCGGGAGCGACAGGGCTAAACCCAGCCCCGCAGCCACGCAGAGGCGCGCCCCCCGCGCCCCCCGCGCCCCCCGAAACGCCCAAGCGCAGTGGCAGGGCGTGCCCAACGAAAAGCGCGCGCGGAGGGTGCCGCAACGGCAGTTTCGGAACCCGTTACGAAGACTAGCAAGGGCGCGGGAGCGACAGGGCTCAACCCAGCCCAGGCACGGCCGGGCCGCAGCCACGCAAAGGCGCGCCCCCCGCGCCCCCCGCGCCCCCCGAAACGCCCAAGCGCAGTGGCAGGGCGTGCCCAAAGCAGCAAAAATGGAGCGAAAAGGCGGGCGTGGAGGGTGCCGGAACGGCAGTTTCGGAAATCGTTACGAAGACTAACAGGGGCCCGGGAGCGACAGGGCCAAACCCAGCCCAGGCACGGCCGAGCCGCAGCCACGCAGAGGCGCGCCCCCCGCGGCCCCCGCGCCCCCCGAAACGCCCAAGCGCAGTGGCAGGGCGTGCCCAAAAGTACCAAAAACGGAGCGAAAAGCGCGCGCGGAGGGTGCCGCAACGGCAGTTTCGGAACCCGTTACGAAGACTAGCAAGGGCCCGGGAGCGACAGGGCTCAACCCAGCCCAGGCACGGCCAGGCCGCAGCCACGCAAAGGCGCGCCGCGCCCCCCGCGCCCCGAAACGCTCAAGCGCAGTGGCAGGGCGTGCCCAAAAGTACCAAAAATGGACCAAAAAGCCGCGCGCGGAGGGTGCCGGAACGGCAGTCTCGGAACCCGTTACGAAGACTAGCCAAAGCTCGGGAGCGACAGGGCCAAACCCAGCCCAGCCGCAGCCACGCCCCGCGCCCCCCGCGCCCCCCGAAACGCCCAAGCGCAGTGGCAGGGCATGCCCAAAAGCACCAAAAATGGAGCGAAAAGCGCGCGCGGAGGGTGCCGGAATGGCAGTTTCAAGAAGACTAGCAGGGGCCCAGGAGCGACAGGGCCAAACCCAGCCCGGGCACGGCCGGGCCGCGGCCGCGCAAAGGGCGAAACCAGCCCAGGCACGGCCGGCCGCGGCCACGCAAAGGCCCTCCCTCGGAACCCGTTAGGAAGACTAGCGACGGTGGAGTGAGAGGCGCAGGCACGCACGCGATGAGACTTTCGGCGGCCCTTCGATGAGACCTTCGGTATCCCAGGCGCCGCCCCGCCAGAGCACGCTCCTAGGCGGGGTCGGCGGATATTGAAAATTTTAAGATTGCAGTACTTCATGCCAAGTCTAAATTTGGTATTGCCGGAGTCTCAGATTCCCAGTACTTCAATTTAGTATTGGCAATTCTAACTTTAACCCCTCCGGCTCAGACCGCCAACATTACAAGCCTGCTTTCTTATACGTGTCGAGTTTTCCCCTGTGGAAATATCCCATTGGAAGTCTCTCAATGGAACTTGTCCCTTTGGAGTTCTCCCATTAGAATTCTCCCTTCGCATTTTCCTATTGGACTTCTCCCGTTGGAATTCTTCCTTTGGACTTTGATGTTTTCCTTTGGAATTGTCCCTTCGACCATTTTCCCTTTTCAGCCATTACGGTTTTTAGATTTTAAGTCGTTGAGATGTTAATAGTTTAAGCTATTAGGGTGTTCAGACTCTAAGCAGTTAGGGTTCCCAACACGTTAAGCCACGAAGATTTTTGGTTTTCCGCCCTTAAGCTTTTTAAGATTTTAAGCCATTACGGTTTTCAGAATTAGCATCTAAGCATCCTAATGGCTGAGCATCTTGGATGACACAGGACGCGACCTTCATTTGACCCTTCAATACTCCTTTTTTTCCAGTTTTCCAGAATGTCATCCAGATAATGCCAGTGATGCTGGTGATGCTTGCGATGTTGCGCTTGTGCTGTGGTACGTGGCCAAGTCCAGGACTGTGGGGTAGGGGGAAGGGGAGCGCGCCCTCTGTTGTCGGCGGATTCAGTATTGCCTGACATTTCCAGTACTTGATGTAGTATTGCCAATTGCAATGCCAATTACTCGAATTAGTATTCCCAACCTCCAAAGAAGTTTGTCATTAAGCGAACCTCGAACTGTCACAATCAACAGACTCAGGGCCTCTTGCGGGCAGCTCCCTTTGCGCCACTGTTTGGCCGCATTGTTCTTTTTCTAAGCAAAGAAGTTATCTTAAATTCGATGGTTTGGGGACATCTTCAAGAAATAAACTCCAATTTGTTTGCCCGATCTTTCCCGATTTGTTCCCGGATTTTGTTCGGGCAAACAACTTGTTATTGAATCGACGCTTCAAACGGTCACAGGAGGTCTTACAGCGGCCAGCACATTAGTGGCATCGAACATCATGGGCAACGTAGTCAAACAGCATGGTGTGAGGGGAAACGTACAGGTGACAGCCAGGAATGTGTCAATTGTCGGATTTGCGCCGTGTCGCAACATGTGTTCGGATTTTGTTTTTCGCTGCTCCTCCACCAACTCAACCGAGGCAAGATCAACGACCTTTTCATCGCGCTAAGGCCAACCACGTGAGAAATCAGACTTGAGCAAGTAGAGCGATCCAAGCCACACCGAGCTGGTGTGTTTCTGTGGCGTGTGTTGCTCTTGTCACGTGCGTTTGGTAGTGATTATTTGATATTTGTGCCTGACCCAGGCGGAAGGCCCAGGGTCAATTGTCCAATGGAAGTCTTCAGCCCAAAGTTTGCTGAGGTTAGCAAAGGTTCCAGAGGCACAGAAGAGAAGTCTGCATCGTCACAGAGCTGACCAGAGGGTGTGTATGACCGCGTGTGTGTTCAGAACCCAGACACTGGACGGCGAACGAACCCACATCTGGCTTGCGAGACTTCTCTTCTTGCAGTCTAACACAGATTGCGGCGGTCCAAAGTGTTTGACCGTGACCTCTGAAGATTTGGATGGAAAAGCGTGCCAGGGCATGCTGATGCGTAATCGTCTCGTGACACCACCCTTTGCCCAAATACCAGCAGTGTCCACTCAGTCTCCCTTCTCTACACTCAGGTGTTCCCATGCGGGCAGGCTTTACTCACATATTACCGAGCCATTGGAAACAGACATTCACAAAGGTTCGTACATAACGTCCATTCCCGAAACTTTGCTCTCCGCACTCCTACAATGAACAATGTTGTGCTCTGGCTGTGGCATAACTTTTAGGCGCCTCCATTTTGAGCACGGATTCATCTGAATCATTTCTTTCTGACAGGCTCTCTGAAGCTGCAAGTATCTTTGCACTTCCGAGGTTCTTGCAGTGAGCGAAACCACTGAGGCCAGATGCAGCGCCCGGTGACTCGGTCGCTAGCCCTCGACGGGAGATATTTGGAAAAGCCCAACATGTATTCATCAAGAAGCCATGTGAGCCACGGACAGACCTACGAAGATGACTTGATGGCCAGGTATGTTATTACGCAAAGCTTTGCAGAGCCTCCCCAATCGCCCTCATTTTTGTGTGTGTGTGACTATCATGGGCTTGTGGCTGTCGGTGTCATGGCCTTGAACTTACAATCAAAATCGATCGCCATAGCCACTTCGAGCAGAAAAAACACCCATATGGTAAATGTGTTCTTTTTGAGGGAACGGGGTGCTCTAAAACGAAACCCAAAGGCCAGCCCCACCTATTTTTTGGGGGGTAGCCCTATTTTGACATACACCCATACGCAGATGTGCTGGTGCCATTGTTTGGCAGCAGACCATTGCTCAAACGAATTGGGGTCAGGACTGGGCCTTCTTCAACCAGTCTTCCAACGAAAGATGCAAAACTGGTTAATGGTGTTTTGGTTTCGCTTTGTGTAGGTTGGTGCGGTTGAGTATTGATGTGTAGTTGGCTGAGTACTGCTTTGCGTTAGCTCAGCGGAGCCTGAAGCATTGATTTTTCTTCTTCTCCCCCCAGCAACTACGCCCCTGACTGCTTCGTCCTTCCTATTTCTAGGTTCGGTGAATAATTTTCAGACAACTGCTGTATTTGCTGCCTATTTACGAATCGCTACTCGACATTATCTCGTGAAACCATCTAATCTTACAGCTTGGAAAGTTGTCAAGAGGGAGCTGTGCCAAGCTGCGCGTCGACCAAGATGTGCTCTCGCGCAGGCTCAAGCAGACTTGATATAGGAGTTTGCGCATCCAGTACTCAATTTCTCCCTGGGCTGGCAGACATTTGCTTGAGGTCTTTACTCGAGGTTTTTTGAGCCAATTCCCTCGATACCCATCTTCCGACTTCGGATTGGTAGCTCTTGGCCCAGATGGCGCCCAAGGAGGGCATGACATGTTCCATGATTCTGATGACGAAATTTATGACCGGAGATGGGTTTTTGGGGGATGCAAGTAATCCAGTAGATGCTGGGGTCTTTTTTTTTGTTTGGGAGTGCCACTACTCCAGTAGATGCTGGGGTCGCTGCCACCATTTCCGTCGTGCTGCCGCCCTTTGCATTGCGTTAGGAGACCAATCAGGAGGCTACCCTGCGAATGATTGAGAAAGGCAGCTCTCACCAGAAAGGTCGAGGCTATGATGGCAAAGGCGGGGTGTCTACGAGGGCAGAAAAAGCCACATTGTGCAGGATTTAATTGGTTCATGTCTTTATTGAAATGGCACGGCTGCTATTGACAGATGTTGGTTTGAGGTTTGTCTTTCACACACTTGCAGTACTGTATCGCAATTTCCGAATAGCTCACGTCTCGTTATTCACATGGCAGGTTCGGCATGGTCACTGCCACTTCGGAACAGCGCCAATTGCCATGTCAGGGTCCCGTGGTAAAGTGGAGCACCAGATTCAGCTGCTCTGAGAAGTCTCGTGCTATGGGCCATAGGCCCCCCAGGCGACAGGCCTTGAGGTTCGCTGTGATCTCGAGATGTGAGACACGTCGCCAGGAAAGGGCAAGGGCGGCAAGGACAAAGGGCCCCCCAGCAGCGAGCAGTTGCCACTTGAGCGGCGCCAAGAGTTGCGCCCTGGCGATGCCGGAATCGGTCGGCCTGCATGCTGGCATATGTGCATCACAGAGAACTTGCAAAGGACACGGACAGTCAGCCACTTTCAAGGAGCAGCCGCCTGGATGCCTTTGTGTGCAGTGAAGAGGTTCAGCTGCAGATGCCGAGCAGCATCAACGGCCTGGAGCGAAAGTACCTTCACGAGCAGGCCTCAAGCGGAGAGAGCTCAGATTGAGGGCCGCGTCCCCGCGATGGTGCATGTGGACCCGCGCAGTTTTGACTGACTAGAGACTTGATGTCTCGATGTTAGCCAGGTGTGATTGGGTGAGTCCAGGCAAATTGGGAGCAGTTCTGAAGGGTTTCCCAAGCATTGCGAAGTGTGGGCGAGACCTTAGGCTTTGGGGACTACGGTCATTCCCAAGCCTTAGTGTCTTGCTGTACGCAGGGCGTAGCATAGCGTGTGTGTGTGTGTGTGTGTGTGTGTGTGTGTGTGTGTGTGTGTGTGTGTGTGTGTCGCAGCTATGCAAACCTTATTCGCAAATCTCGCCAAACCATATATTAAATCACACGCACACACACACACAACCAATGCATTGCTACGCCTCACTACCCTCACGAGTGCGTGTTCCTTGGGAAGCCATTGTAGCAACAACCGCAGCTTGTACAACTTCCTCAAGCCAGGCGGACGTGCGTGGCCTGACGACCCAATCTTTCGGGCAGGGCAGGGACAGATACATCTGCATCTTCAAGGCGCGGAGCATTTGATTCTCGCGTCGCGCCTTTGCAAATCGTATTTCAAAGAGATGGGGCGACCTTTGTGTAGTGATTGCAGTACATGCCCCCTGGAAGCTTCTGCAAAGATGTGCCAACTTCTCCATCCGTCTCTTGCTTTCTTGGTCTTGAGCGCTGGCCCTGGCCCTAAAGCCCATTGGCTGTTGTCAAAACCGTTTTGGGATCCCATTTTGGTTGGTAGGTGAATTCCCCACTTTTAGGCTTCCTATTTTAGTGGTTGGATTGAATCGCATGTTCACTGGGGGCTAACCGATTTGGATTTTGAAAAGCCCATGGCCACTTGAAGAGTTTCCGCCAGGAGCAGGCGCAGAGCAGTGGGACCGCTGCCACCGAAGCCCGTGCTGTTGAGTTTCTTGACGAGTTGGTCCTCGCAGTTTTTTTTTTGTTTAAGGCTTCCCCTTTTTTGGTGGTTTTAAAGGACACCCAAGAGGAACCCCCCCCATTTTGGGAGTCTCCTAAAAAACGACACACCCATGTTTGCGATGGTACAATGTTGTCATTGGATGCGGTGCAAGCCATCCCTGGCAGAGATGATATGCTGTTTTATGATTTCCTGGCGTTTGCACTACGGCAACCAATGGTAGGCAACTCCTGGTGACCCGAGGAATGTCCAGTACTCAGCGGTGTTTCTGGACGACGAGAGCCAAACAAAGCTTACGGAGTTTTGCAGAAGGCCTGGGGCGGGTGTTTTTCTGAGCTGCATTGGATCCGACAGCTTATGACATAGAGGAATGGCATGCCACGAGCGTTTGCAGCCCTGCAGTTCCGAGCTTGTGTTTCGCAACTTTAGATCGGCCTTGTACGCACACAGCTCGAGCTTTTGTTTTTTGTGTCTTGAAGAGCGTGCTCAAACATATTAATGTGTATAGTGATACATGTATGTATATATACACATACACGTATGTTTCTCACCATATTTGCTGTATGTTGTTTGCAAGGGCTCAAAGGTAAACCGCCTTTGAGCTTTCGGGCGGTCGCTCTGCAGGCCTCCAGAGGGGTCGATTGAGATGTGTTCGCCCAGTCCGTTTCTGCGTGGCCTCATCGCCAAATCGGACCATCCCAGGAGAATCCCTGGGGGCATCCCATCGCGCTGGAAGACACATGGCGATCACATGACCATTTGTCTTGGTCCACTGTTGGAAGCGAAGACGGAGGACCACCGATCTGTTGCAGCTGGGTTGCACGTTATTCTTACCATGGAGCTTGTTACTAGTTTAACATGCTGGACACGTTGCCTGAAACGTGTCAGAGATGCAGTCTTGATGAGCTTTCAGATGTGGAGGAGGTTCTTGGTACTGTCAGACAAGTTCAACAGGTGCATTTGTTCATGTAAGCTTGGCTTTTTGAGAAGCTCCCGCTTGAGTTCAGTTGGCTTGGTGATGCTGGCAAGGCAGATACCGTGCAGCAGCAGATTGCCAGATACCAAGATGGACAGCGCTTTGAGCTGAAAGTGGTGTCCATCGGCCATGACGACAATGCCATTGCAGTGGGCGTCATCGGATGTGTGTCCTGCAACAGAAATCCTCACATCACAGCGCCTTGCATGCATCTTCATAGTGCATCCTGTGGCTCATTAGTTTGCAGAGCGACTGATGAGCAGACGCTGTGCTTGAACTGAGACCAAGGCTTTGTGTTTCAGATTGGTGAAGCGTGTTGGAGTGTGCGAATTCTACCCCCACTGGCCTGATCGGCCGGCCAGCTGGATCCTACGTTGGTTGGCTTAGTCACTGTGTCTTAGGTCGCCACTGCCCCGGGGCAGGCGCCAAACTCGAGCCACTGGGCTGCACCAACTCGGCGCTGGTGTTCTGGTATCCAGACCCTGCGCTAACGCATTGTCAAGCATGGCAAGGTTGGAAGCGATCTGCTTGAATTAGCGCTGTCCGTCAGTCCATGGCTGAGAAGCGCGGGAAGGCTTGAGCTGCTAGCTCAGTGTTAACTAGCACGCGCGGATGTGTTGTGGCCCTTGGGCTTCATAGAGCTAGCAGTAGTATTGTGTTGGAGTTGTGGTGATGCCAGTTGACCTTCGTTCTCCATACGTAGCTTCCTGCTGGTTGAGGGTATGGCTGTTTAGCTTTGAGGCAAAGGCTTTTTCATCAAGGGTGTTGGTTGCGGGAAGCTGACGGTTTCCAGTCATGGAGGATGCATCCGTCAGTCCTCTTGGAGCTTTATTCGATCGCCATGCTACGATGTTCAACCACTGGTTGTTCAGAAAGTCAGTCGTGCACAGCTGACTTTCTTGACCGATGTGGGAGAGGATAGCTTAGAATTGGTCTGTGACTGTGATGAACTTTTCAAGCGACAGTTTCGTCCTGCACTGAGGCAACTTCATCAAGAAGCCGCTTGCCTTTGTTTTGCATCGCATGGGGGAAGGGCGAGGACTCACTCATACGGTTTGGTTGCGGGGGCCTGCAGTGAGAGACAGAGACCTGAAAGCCTCCAACACTCAAAAATATGCCAACACATTGCCCAGGAAGTCTGTTGAGAGCCATGGATGCCACTGTTGAG